AAGCCACTGGCAGGCCGCCTCGTTTATCAAGCGCGTGATGAAGCTGTTGGGTTAGGCGAAGGCCTCGACGAGAGAGAGCCACGGCATAAGCAAACCGCCCGGCTTATCTCAAATCGCAACGTCTTGTTAGACTTCCCTCTCTGTTCACCCGTTTCCGCTGCTTTCCAACCCCCGTTCACCGAGAGAACCCCAGGCTTGCGTCACCAACCCTCTCGCCACCTTCGCCTTCCGTCTTCGCCCTCTTTTGCCTTCACCGCGCTCGTCCTTTCGTTCCTTGAATTTCTCGCGGCGTGTTCAAAGGAGAACCCAAGAATATTTTTCGAGCCGAAGGTCTCTCCTGTCGTGGCATCCACCACCGTACTCTATTTCTTCTTTTTCTCTTCCGCCATGCCAGCTCGCTCGCCGAGACCGTGTCCCGTGCTACCGACAGCGGAAAGAGAAAATAGAACGTGAGTATTCGATAACGAGGCGGCCGGCCCAGTTTCCACTCCTTCCACGGAGGAAAAGCTGTCCGTGTCTACGTAGGCAGAGACGAATTTTTCCGCCGCATTTTCTTGACCTGGTTTCACCGTATAAAGCGGAAGGGATCAGACACGACAAGTTTTCACCGGTTCTGTCGGTATGCTCTGCGCAAAGTCCGGCTATTTCGTTTCCTCCTTCTTTTTCTTATTCCTTTTGCTAACTTTTTTCCCTTCTTCTTTCTTTCTTCTTTTTATTCGCCGACTTCGTTCTATTCGTACTTTCCTTCCTCTTCCTTCGTTAGGTATTTCGCGCGCGTTCGTCGCTGCACATTTGCAACCTTGTTACAGTGGAAAGTCCTGGATCTCTGTATTTGTACCTGTGTGAAGTATTCTTGGAATACAATTATGGTAGCTAATTGTGAGATATTCTAACTCGTGTATGAAACTTTTATGAGCTTCGTGTACGTTACGAAATGTAATCAACTGTGACAAGGATGTAATAAAGAACCATGTGACTTGTTGACGTTGCTAAGGGTTAATCCAATGAGGCGTTATACCAGACTTCGGATGACGTTATGAAGAGGGTCAGATAACAGTCGTAATTAGAAAAAGTCAACAATAATATCGTTGATAAATGACCAAGAAGATTATTCATAGAGTCTGACAGGAAAGAAAGATCAGTTCTCAAACATTCATCCGTATTCGAAGGTATAAATAGAGATATCTCATTGAAATAATGAATATTTCAGGAAATATTTTAAACTCATGCCATTTATATTCTTACCTTTTATAACAAACGTCGTATGTTAAATGTTAGTTTTGCTATCTCGACTACCCGGTTAAACCAAAAAGAAAGAAAATATGTTCGCAAGTGATCAACAATTTACCAAAGCCGAGGAACTGGTCGTAGAACGACCTAGTTTGCACGATTTAATATGCGAAACATAAGTTACGAACTCGCGAGGATAATACTAAATTTCCCCTAAAATGTTTGCACATCATCATCTCTTTGACGTGCAACGTATATAGGCTCGCGCGATATCATTTCGTTCCTCCAGGTTCAAACGCAGCCAGCTCACGCTGAGAATTATTAAAAACTAGCCACTTTAACATTCATCCCGATAACTGCGTGTATGCGTCAGCTTTCGCGCATCGTTCCGAGCCGCTTATCGATTTCACTGGATTTTCCTATGCGAACAGTCACACACAAGAAAATGCTACAACGATCGAACACACTGTTGTGTAATTGGCTTTGCTGAATGTTAGAGATTTATATTCCGAATTGCATGCGCTCGATAAAGCTTGTTGACGCATCAAAACGTATGGTGTAAGTACGATTCTACTGTTGTTTTTGACATTTGATCGCGAAAGTTTGAGTTTTAAAACACTAACACAAAAATGATATTACTATTTTTACGCGACTGTTCTTTTAATCGAAAGGAAAAATTAAAAACACTTGGATTCATTTTGATTAACACAGTTTCGACTGTGCTTTCGTTCGGTAAATAGGGGTTGCTTTTATCTGTTCTTACATTACCAGTTTTTCGTCTCTGCTCTTTCCGTTTTTTCTGACAAGATGGAAAATTTACGAAAATGATATATAATGGTAAAAGTTTGGAGCTAAATTTTCGATAATTTATGGCGATACGAACTTCTCAAAATTAAGCATAATACCAAATATTATGGACGATAATGTGTTATATATTTTCTAAATAGGAATCTAGTAACTTCTGTCTGCAACAAAAGTGATAATAAAGTAAGTTCTGAAATTTTCAAAAAGATATATTTATCACTTTATTTCAACAGATTTAGGAAGTGATATATATAAAGGATAAGTGATTCTTGAAATTATGAACAGAATAGATATAAAAGTTTCCAAGCAATTGATATATCGCAAAGGGATGACAATGGCACACGCTATTTGAGACGACTTGAAGTCGTGAACCAGGATTTCTAGCATTGTGTGTATCTAAGATTTATACAGTGAGGCATCAAAAATTGAGAAAATTCAATTTTGACAATTTTCATTGAAATTTTCAGTATTTTACCAACGTTTGGCACCCGAGATATTTCCAGAGGGAGAAACAGAGGCTACAATCCTGTATTAATTTTTAAGGGAAGAACATTTTGAGTTCAGCGGATTCTACTCTCAGAAAAATGCTGGCCCTGAATTTAGAAACTGCACGAAGATTGTCGCTTGAAATCACTTCACTTGCGAACTTGACGGTTTGTACGCTATAACATTCGAAATATTTGCTTTTCATCCATTTTATGGAAGTTTTGTGTTTGTCAATTTACGGGAAAGTTTGTATTGTATACAAGGATATGCTTGTAGTTACATATGTAGAAACCATTCATTTTAATTCTATCGTAGCTTTCCAAACTCTATCGACGTATTTATGGTCCTTTATCTAAGTGAGAAGCATGTGAAGTAATATCAATAAATTATCACGCCTTCCTAAAATAAAAAAATTCTTAGTTATATTCAACATAGTGTAAAACTATGTTGTGTATGATTGCTTGATAAGAGTTGTTGGCACGAATAGACTGTACTACTATAATTACTACTATAATAATAAATTGTATTACTATTTCACCTTTAAAGTATAATAATTCGCATAGTAAACGAAATACAAGAAATCTTGATCTCAAATCAATTACGTTCAGAAATTTAAAACACAAGGACCTCTACCTTAATAGTTAAAAAAATAAAAACAAAGAAATATTCTTTAGATTTATGTTTCAACCACCTCACAGAAATTCGAAGAAATAACACTTGCCCAATTTCACACTGCAAAACTGAAAAACCCAAGGAACAATAAAACTTACTCGTTAACGAGATATACCATTCCATTCTACAAGTAAAACGCACTATCCTAAACCGCAACTTTATGTAGTT